CTATATACAATTCACCTCGAAATGGTTGTGGACTTTGTCTTTTAAGTGCAGGCTGCATATCCTTCTTAAGGCATGTCTCTATAGACATCGGTATCAACTCACACGCACAGCACTGTGACACTTAGTCCAAGTTTCTGAACAGAGCTGGTGCTAGCAATCATAGGATGGATGGGGACTGCTGTTATTGATGAGACTGAAAATGAAGAGGTTGCTGATTTAAGAACATGTTGTGCCCCTCGCGTACATGCTCAAATCCGCTACCAACTTCTAGCACTTGTATAATCTAGCAGGGTAGCCTAACATTAACTTAAACTTTCCATTAATAACGAAGTCATTGGCATGCAGTGTAGGACCTAATTTTGTTAATTTCAAAATTGGTAGATGCACAGTTTTGACGGAATACCTTGATACCGCGAACGCCTAAAATGGTACACACGATTAAGGGCAGTATTGATGAAAGACATGAATTTCGGTCGTAGCTATGGGTCTTGAGTGTTCTGACCGTCCAAAAATCCCTTACGGCCATACTTGCCTTAGCAGAATGACCGTTCGGCGGATCGCCATGGCCTGGCTGGTCATGAACAAACGGTTCACGTTGTTTTGGCCAAAAATCCCTCGTTGGCACCGGGGAGAGCAAGTCTCAAATTGTCACCCGCGAGGAAACGAGTATGTACATGTACGTACCACCCTCCTACCCCCACAATCTCCCATCCACATAAAGCGAAAGAATGCCACACCGATACAGAATGGACGAACTTAATTGCTCAACACAGTCGATTTTCGAGATGGTCAAACTGCGACGTCTGCTTGGCGCAGTACACTGTCTGTTGTCAGTTTATTGTGGTCCGTTTAGAAGCCATCTCTTTCCAAAACCGCATCTGGGCGTCTTCGCCTATTCGACTGCGAAATGTATTTTGTCCAGCAGGTACCTAATTAGCCTACTTTCAAATCTAAGCAGTCTCCTTTCAAAAAGAAAATTACTGCATAGAATATGGTCTAATAGGAGGAGGTCGGTACTGCCGTCATGACCCATAGTCTCAATGACGTCAAGTTGACGATGTGTCCCATCTGCTCACCATTTGCTCTCCGACCTTCGTACAGTCAACTGATGCTCTTGCATTTGCATCCGTATCTATAATTTGGTTTATCCAACGTATTTTCCCATCGTCCAGATGCACGGGATTTAGTAGACAACGGCCGACTTCTTCTGCTTAGTGTCAAGGTTTTTTGGCCTCATCACTTGCTGGCGGAGTTTTAAGTTAGGTCTGTGGGATCTCCTATTCCGAGCTGCTCGAGGGCTCTTCATAAATATACGGTTTTTTATTTACGAAATTGTCTCCTGTTTAATTTAAATTTGAGGCACTCTTTTTATGCGAAGTGATTTACTCAGGAACGATATATGTATCGAAATATCCGATTATCTGCAGAACTAGCATATCTGAATCAGTCCGATAAAAAAGTAAAGTCTAAGAAATTCGCAATGCCAGGCTTGCTTATTCCCTTATTCTAGTAGTCCTACTCCTTGTCAGCACGGGGAACAAAAACACAAAGTCGTAATGGGCATGTTAAACTCAAATTCACGGCCCAAATTCTTTGCGAATAGTTTTACTCAGAAGTGATATATGCATCAAAATACTAGATTATGTACAAAACTAGAATACCTGAATCAGCCCCACAAAGCAGGAAAGTCTAGGAAATTCGCAATGCCTGTCCTGCTTATCCGCTTATTCCGGTAGTCCTACCCCTTGTCAGCACCGGGAAACAACAACACGGGCGTTTGCACACGTGTTGCACATACAATCAACCAGTGATGTCCAGCATGTGCGTCTTTTCTTATCAGGATGGAGGCGACTCAAATGCCGACACATATCGATCTGCTTGGCGACTGCCCACCAGACTGCACATCGATGGCGCCAGCATGAAAACTGACTCATCAGCGGCACGCCCACGACACTCTAAGACCTCTCCTTAAGAGTGACATAATAACTCTCTACTATATCATTCTCAGTAGGCGTGTAGTAATGGTTAAAATTTGTCGTCGCACCAGAAGTCTCGAGTGCGCTCTTGTTTTTGGTTTGCATATGGCAGTTCGACCGTCGTTACCGACGATGTCCACCGTGCGCTCCACGGCAAGCTGAAAGCAGGCACGGCGGCTTGTGTGTGAATTAGTTTATAGCGGTATTAGACTTGCAGAGAATTAACCGCACACTCTCGTCCTACTCCCCACCTGGAATTTATGTCATGACAGAGTCGTCAAGAAGACCGGAGGCTGTGAGGGTGCAGATGGATGCCACGCCGGAACCCGCACCTAGGCGAACCACCACGTCCCCTGATCCATACAGAAAAAAACCAGGATTTTATCCAAGACCAGCATTTTAGCAACGTTTGCATAGGATGTCGATCATGAGCCCCACCATACCATAACCGACTTCAAAATTTGCAAAGTTTTGCATATGAGAGTTTTTTTTCGTATTAAAAACAATCAAATGAATTAAATCTCTTAGGAGACTGTGGGATGGAAGAGTGCAGGGAAGGGGCATTAAATGACCCCACGCAAGTAAACAATAAAATAGCGACACAGACATCTTAAAGTAAGGATGACTACATATTCATCTGTCTAGAGAGCCCAATAGTTTTGATACAAACATGCCTATTAATCTGATAAAGCCTTCCAATGTAGGTATCTTTTGCAACTAGAACCCAGGTGATAGACCACTGCCACACTGCCGTTCAACCCTACTCTCAGTAAATTACAACTTCGACCTCCAGTCCTGTAGCGCGTACAAACTCGAGCGGATTGTTCCTGTTGTTTAGTAACATCTATGCCCTCTGGTAAAGTAAGGCTTTTTTTGAATTTTGTGTCATCTAGATCTGGAAGTGTACTATGTTTTCGCTTCGGCATATTAAAGGCGTTTGTTATAAGACCAGAACCACAAAAATGGCATGCCAAATGCATCTATGCGTCGTCTAATTCTTTTGTGTGCCGCAGTGCAAATTGCATTTATATAGTACGGTATAATACCTTTACTATACAGATTTCATATTACTCGTAGTATTACTTGTTTGTAGAATGGGCATTACGTGGTTATTCCACAGTAGTTAATTGCCTTCGACTCAAATGTTCATTGAAATTTTGCTTCTAACCCTAAAAAATCATGTCCCGGAGATTTAACTCCAAGTCCTGCATTGCGTAATTTCTGAAATTATTCGCTTGATTATTCTCTGGAGTTCATATACCGGAAACCGCTAGAGAACTCTGGGGGTCCCACTGAAGATCCGAACCCCTCGCAGCTGTGTCACGCAGCGGCAAAATATCGGCGAAACACGTGTCTGGGCTTTTAGCCAGTATCTATCTCGGGAGTACGGTATAATACCTTAACCATATGGAATCATACTACTCGTAGTACTACTTGTTTGTAGAATGGGCATTACGTGGTTATTCCACAGAAGTTGATTGTCTTCGAATCAAATGTTCATTGAAATTTCGGTTCTGACCTTAAAAATTCATGTCCCGGAGATTTAACTCCAAGTCCTGCATTGAGTAATTTCTAAAATTATTCGCTTGATATATATATATATATATATATATATATATATATATATATATATATATATATTATAATAGTGAGCCCTCACCGATCAGGTTACGGAACATGCTCTTTCCGTTGTGCCTTGGGGCTCATACTAGAACCCTCGCAACGAGCATGTTCCGTAACCTGATCGGTGAGCGCCCACTATCATAATATTCCCGATCACAACAGACAGGACAACGGGCCCGTGGCTCAATGGTTGAGCGCCAAAATCCATGACCAAAGATCCCGAGTTCGAATCTCAAGTGATCCACACTTGGGGTTGGGTATGACTGGCTGATGACGGCTTATAAGCCAGAAATGGCTATTCCGGTCTCCCTTGTCTTTGTCGGTACCATCTCATATATATATATATATATATGTTGAAGTTAAAGGCGTTCTTTGGGAAAATGAACTTTATTGCGTAAATTTTCGACGCCGGTTCCCCAGGTCGTCTTCAGACGCAGACTGAGAGTAAATTTGCCGACAACAGTTAACATCTGGCAGCACATGTGGAAAAAAAATCGATAATCGTTCGCGTTTGTGCCCGTGAGCGGCCGCTATTTGCGTCATTCTGTGCCGATTGGCTCTCGTCTCTTCCATTTCTCCTTGAGACTTTTGTACGCGACGTCCAACTCAATGTGACGGTTGATGCACGATTCATCCGAGTGCATGGCCTCAAGGAACTCTCGGCCTTTCTTGAAGGGGCAGGCGCCGACAATCCGTGTTCTGTCCCAAGCAAACGTATGCCCGTGTCCAGGGTATGCATGGCTACTTGAGACACGTGGTCTCGCCTCTTTACTGCAAGTTGGTGTTCGTGAATGCGTGTAGAGGCGGATTTTCCTGTTTGACCACAATAAACTGCATCACAGGCCCCACACGGGATCTTGTAGACTACTTCCTTTCTATCCAAATAGCCGACCCTATCCTTAGGGTGTACTATCTGAGAACGTAATGTAGTCGTTGGTCTGTGTGCCACCAGAATTTGGTGCTTCTTTAGGCGCCTTTCCACGAGTTCAGACACGTTTTTGATATAAGGGAGAGTTCGCCATGTATTTGACTTGGGTGCCTGGCTGGAAGTTCTTTGTTCCGGTTCTTTTGACTTTTTCTGTCTCATGCATCGGCGCACAAAATTCTTGGGATACCCATTTCGGGAAAATAATTCACACAAGTAACTTAGTTCGGCCTGGTAGCCTTCTTCGTCACATGCAGTTTTGCCGAAACCAGCTCCCAGTTGACTTATTTGAATCTCTGAACGAAACCATCACCTGTGTCTCACAACTCGAACGACAAAAGAAGAGGAGTGTTTTAGACAAAAAGTGGACGACCATTTCTCAAAAAACTGATGGGAATCAGAAGTGCCCAGCGAAAGTCGTAAACCTGTCCTCGAGGATTCTTACACCATCGGAAGAGAATGTGCTTTCTAAAGGGATGAAATACAACCTTGCGGATGCAAATTACTTGGACTTCCTAGCAAGCTTGGAATCCATCATAGCAACGGCAGACCTCACAGAAGAGGAAAGATTTACAATCCGAAACAATACTGTAAACGCCTTGAAAGACCGAAATCAGTTTACAGTACTATCACGTGAAGAACAGAAAGCGTTGAGATCCCTGAGAACTGACAAAAATATTATCGTTCTCCCAGCTGACAAAGGTGGCTCCGTTGCGATTTTGAACAAAGCGGACTACAATGCAAAGATGCTATCATTGTTAGAAGATGAATCGACTTATAAACCACTTTCTGCGGATCCTACCAAAGCACAGACCACATCTATTGATAAAGTGCTGAAGCGCCTCACCGGGAAAAAGCAACTGTCGGGAGAAATAGCTAAGCACTTGAAACAAACTGAACCCACCATTGCTAGGATCTATGGACTACCCAAAGTCCACAAAGCTGAAGTGCCGTTGCGACCGATAGTATCGCTAATCGGGGCACCCAACTACAAAATTTCAAAGTGGCTATTCCAAAAACTTCATCCACTTACTAGGAATTGTGAAACGTCGATTGAGAACTCTACAGAGTTTCTAAAGAAATTAAAAGGAATCACAGTTTCCTCGGACGAGATCATGGTGTCCTTCGATGTTGTCTCCCTCTTCACGTGCATACCGTTAGAATTGGCGAAACAGTGCACAGAGGATCTCCTGCAATCCTGTGACACGGATGTTCCCGCTATTGCCTTACTCGAGCTCTTAGACCTGTGTATGGAAACCAATTTTTCGTTCGACCAACAGTACTACCAACAACTGAAGGGAGCCCCAATGGGGTCACCTATCTCTGGCTTCCTTGCCGAGATCACAATGCAGAAACTGGAGGCCATTGCTCTTCCGTTAGTTAATCCTAAATTGTGGTTGCGATACGTGGACGACACATTTGTGATCGTTAAGAAGGATCAACTAGAAACGCTCCACAACACCATTAACTCAACAATGCCGGGGATTAAATTCACACTCGAGAAAGAAGTTGACAAAAAACTCCCATTTTTGGATGTTCTTGTGCAGCGGAAGACCGACGGAACGTTGCGCACATCGGTGTACCGCAAACAAACCTATGCGGAAGTCATTCTACACTACGAGAGCAACCACCCCATTTCCCACAAACGGAGTACGGTCAACTGTCTGCTTAACCGGGCAAAAACACACTGCTCGGACGAAGAAGGCTACCAGGCCGAACTAAGTTACTTGTGTGAATTATTTTCCCGAAATGGGTATCCCAAGAATTTTGTGCGCCGATGCATGAGACAGAAAAAGTCAAAAGAAACGGAACAAAGAACTTCCAGCCAGGCACCCAAGTCAAATACATGGCGAACTCTCCCTTATATCAAAAACGTGTCTGAACTCGTGGAAAGGCGCCTAAAGAAGCACCAAATTCTGGTGGCACACAGACCAACGACTACATTACGTACTCAGATAGTACACCCTAAGGATAGGGTCGGCTATTTGGATAGAAAGGAAGTAGTCTACAAGATCCCGTGTGGGGCCTGTGATGCAGTTTATTGTGGTCAAACAGGAAAATCCGCCTCTACACGCATTCACGAACACCAACTTGCAGTAAAGAGGCGAGACCACCTGTCTCAAGTAGCCATGCATACCCTGGACACGGGGCATACGTTTGCTTGGGACAGAACACGGATTGTCGGCGCCTGCCCCTTCAAGAAAGGCCGAGAGTTCCTTGAGGCCATGCACTCGGATGAATCGTGCATCAACCGTCACATCGAGTTGGACGCCGCGTACAAAAGTCTCAAGGAGAAATGGAAGAGACGAGAGCCAATCGGCACAGAATGACGCAAATAGCGGCCGCTCACGGGCACCAACGCGAACGATTATCGATTTTTTCCACGTGCGCTGCCAGATGTTAACTGTTGTCGGCACATTTACTCTCAGTCTGCGTCTGACGACGACCTGGGGAACCGGCGTCGAAAATTTACGCAATAAAGTTCATTTTCCCAAAGAACGCCTTTAACTTCAAC